CCTTCCCAACACTCGAGCAGGCTGGAAGGACTGGCCCTGCCTTGGAACAGGTTTGGGCTCTTGGTTTGCTCAGTGAGACAGGTCCTGAGCTCCCTGCAGCCTGCCGTGCAGACCCAGCGATTCCCAAGTGGATCTGGGGGCAGGTGGCTGTGGTGGCCGGCACGCAGAGCCCTCACACCCCGGCGGGCACCGTGGGCGTGTGCGAGATGCTCACGTGTATGAAGCATCTTCTCAGGCTCACGCTTTGCTGTGGAAAAGGAAATAAAAAGAATCTCGTCCCCCTCCCTCCATCTGCCTTCAGTGTCTCCTTTCTAATAACTTGGCATATTCACTTAATACAGCCCGGCTCCTTCCAAGTCGTTAGCGGCGGCAGGAGACACAGCCGGAACGCTGACCTGGTTTGCTTGCCAAGACAGAGCAAAGAGAAACCTTCACATAATCATTTCCAAACATTAAAATGGCTCCATTGTCATTATAGCTGAGAGATTGAATTCGCCTCATCAAAGCGGCGTATGACAGGTGACTCAATAGGCTGGTGCCAAGCGCGGAGGCAGGAGATTAGCAGGGCACTGATATCATTATTTCCGCCTATCACAGATTCGGCAGGGAGGCAATTGTAATTTCTGGGCTTATTAGTCTGCATTCGCAGGAAAAAACCTGGTGATAAACCTCAGTGTGACAGCCAGGCATTTGTGCAGCAAGTGCTGTCACAGTGACACTTGGAAAATGCCAATGTGGATACGTTCTCCTAATCCCCCCTAATGGAGGTTAAAGCCTGGCACAAAGGCACTCTTATCACTGATCGGGACACTAATAACATTTGCATTTTTAAGTTAAATATAGTAAGTAAAGAGTAAGTCTCCTCCTCGCGGCTCCGGCAATTAACTGGGCCTTTGGAAGGATAAAAGCGAAGCGGAGGTTCCAGCCCCGCGCTCTCCGCTCTCCTGCACGGCAGTGGGAGAGGGCCCTCGCTGGGTCAGCGCTCCCAGAGCAGCACCTGCACTCCCACCTCAGCTCTCCATGACTGGGACGGGATGGAGGAGCTGGGATGGGACCTGGCAAAGGGGGGGAACAGCCGGCTCGTGGGGGCTGAACGGAGGTGCTCACCCGGGACTGCCCTTCCCACCGAGGAGGAGAGATTGTTCTGGGGCTTCCACACACTTTTACAAGTGGTTTTGCTTCAGAAGAACAAAACTTTTGGGTTTTTTTCCGCCCCACAGTGCAAGCTGGGCTTGGGGTTTCTGTGATAATTGCCCCCGGACACGAGCCCAACACGGACATGCACATGCACGCTCTCTGCAGGAATTTCTTAAGCAAAAAAATAATTACAGGTGGTAAACTGTTACTTTTCCACATTTAAATAAGAGACCAATTAAGAAGACTATGTAATTCAATTCTAGAGTGAGTGCCACTGAATTCAATTTGTTTCAGGTCAATGAATATAATGTGAAGTTATTAACAAAAAGGTCAGGGACTGCATATAAAATATACACACATGACACAGGCAGAGTAATTAGTACACATTTCACATGTTCTGCTGCTCAGACATATGGTGTAGAAAATCTGAGCAGGATTAGATGGTAATAAATGTTCCCCTCTCCCTCCCTCCCACTCCCTATTTAAATGGGGTTTAGAGCTATTCCCCCGGTGTTCCCAGGATCTGTGGAGGTTGAGGACCCACAGCTTACACAGCAGTGCCAGGCTGGGACCCTCGGCCAGGGCAAAGCATCCAGGAAAGCTGGGAGGGTGCTGTGGGACTGGGATGGAGCTGGCACAGTCCCTCGGGGCTGCACCTGAGGAGCAGCATGTGCCGGGGCAGGGACAGTGCTCAGGGGCCTCGTGCCCCACACGCTGCTCACCCTCTGACAGAGTTCCCCCCTTTGTGGCATCTCACTCGTGCACCCTCACCAAGAATTACTGTGTTCTCCCATGCCAATCTGCTGCAAGTGCACACTTGATGTGAAGTTATCACAATAATAATAATAAAACATTCAAACTGCTATAGAGATGCTGTGGTTAAGTGGGGGTTGAATTTGAAAAAAATCCACAACACATGAATAAAAATAACCAGAGGACTACAAAGCCCTAAATGCCTTTGTCACCCTAAGCCTGAGTCTGGCACACCTGGATCCTCTCGCAGGTAAAGGTGCACTTTCATAGGGGAGGAAAGTGAGGACTTGGGAAAAACTCCCAGGAAGTTACAGGAAGGAATCTCAAGATACACAAATGCTGCTCAGCTTCTGTATCATATAAGGGCTTGAAAACAAGGCAAAAGCACAGAAAACACTGGGAAAATCCTGCTTTGTGGCAGCCCTGGCCCTGTCTCTGTAGCAAGGGAGGAACGAGCCCCACCTACGTGCCAGTAAAGAGCCAGAATGTCTGATTCTTGTGAAAAAAGCCTCCTGCCCCCCACCTGCAGCACCTCCTCTGAGTTCCTGCTTTGGAGGGAAAGCCACAGCTCCCGGGGGTAACAGCGTCCCGCGGGAAAGCTGCTGCACGGCAGGACCCTGCGGGATGGGGAGGTGCTCCCGGAGCCGGTGGCTCTTCACTGCCTTTTCCATGTCGAGGGACCACACACACGTCCCTACAAAAGCCTTTCCCAGAGCCTGCTGAGCTGCAGCTCCGTGTGTACACACTGACAACAAACCCCGGCCCCGGGGGCCTCCCGGCCCCACGCACGGCCCTCCCCCGGCAGCCGGAGCAGCTCCCGATCCAGCAGCAGCTCCCGGGTCACTCCAGGACCCACATCACGTCACATCACGTGTGTGACACGGCACCCACGGGCCCCCCATACCCCCACTGCACGGATTCCTCCAGCTAAGCTAACATTCACCCTAAAAATATCTGTGTTCCTACTCACAGAGACTTAAGTTCCTATTTTTTCCACTGGATGCTAGGAGATCAATCCGTGCCTAATTCCAGCATCAGCTTTGGGGAGCAGGACATATTTGCGAGTATGGAAACCTCTTTACATTTGAATTGCCCCAATCCTTCTGGAATTAGCAGTGAGGGAAACCTCAGAAAGGACAGGTTAAGTGACACCTGGCAGTTTCCCCAGCCCTTGCTGTGGGGAGCTCAATCTGATTTATGGGGTGCTCTGGTGTCCAGGCAAACCTGCTCGGGATCTTTACTGGGAAAAGATAACCCTGCCATGGAGCCAGATGTGTTTCTGTGCTCCAGCGTTTTCCTTGGCATTTCTTTTCAGAATGATAAATGCAACAATCCATTTCCCAAGTTATCCTTTATCTCCAGTGTGGTCCGATGTGTTAAAATAATTAAGCTGTTTGTATATCTTGACTAATAATTGGTATTTATCTGAACTTGAGAGCATAATCCTCAGCTGGAGATATTTGTTTTGCCCATTTTTCCTGTTTTGGTTTTGTATAACTGACTGCAGAAAGCAAGAAGTGGAGAGCTCCAGGAATGGCTGGGAAGCACACTTCCACAGGAAACAGCCCCAGATCCATACAGGCTTAGTATTTCTCTGTAAAGAGGGAACTGTAAAGTGAGATTGACTCATACAGGTTCAAGGGTGAATTAAATCCAAGATGAGTGTGTTAATTAACATTGCTGTGGCTAGGTATTCCAGTCAGGATCCTACCTCCAGAGCATTCAGCAGAATTCCTTGGAGACCCAAGTTAGCGCTCACGAGGAATTCTGTCCTTAACAAAACAAGGAAAGGTGCTCCATGAGTTCCGGACTGGCTGCAGTTCACTTGGCCTGTCCCACACACCAACCCTCCCTGCAACAGCCCCTGGCTTTTCCCAACAGTATCCCACTGGGATGTGGGGCTGCACAGCAATCCCAGGCACGGCAGCCTCCTGGTTTAGTCCGGGAGTCTCCCCGTGTGTCAGACTCCAGGAATGGCACAATATCCCTGGCACTGTCAGGACAGGGCAGGGGTTTAATCAGTGCTACCAAAACCAATTGATTTCTCCCCACTTCTCAAAATTCAACATATTGATCTGTAATAAGAGAAGGGAAAAGAGGAAGGGCAGCTCAGCAGGTTACTGAATATACCAGGTGGAGAGGCAAAAAAAAGGTAAACAAACAAAAGAAATCTATTTTCTTTTTAATTAAGAAGTGATTCCCCCCCAAGTGGCCCTTTGCTCTCCCTGATTCCCTGTTTTTTAAAATCACTGGAGCAATTTACCTTCCATTTTACTACTGGGCTTGTGAATTGGAACAGAAGAAATGAAAAGCAGGGAAAAACCTATGTGAAGCCTTTGTTTTCATTATTTGTCCCCTTTCCTCCGAGTTTTCTGTTTCTTTTCCCAGCAAACCACGACCAGCTTTCCCCCAACCCACGGCACGACTCCCCAGACCTCCCCACGACCATCCCGGAGCGACGCTGCCGCCCCTCTCCTCCCCCCTCGGGCTGGACTTTTCCTTAACACCACCGGGATTTACTCGGCGCTTCCACAAACTGCCCTTGACCCCCGCAGCCCCCCCACGGGCCGGGGTGGGAGCAGAGCAGACCTCCCACGCTCGGGCCACCGCGGGTGCCGCTCCGGAGCCCCCCGGGCAGCGCCGGACACGCGCGGCGTGCCGGGCGGGAATGCCGGGCGGGAATGGGGGGAGCATCCCCGCGGGGTCGGTGCCCCCCAGCTCGGCAGGCTCTCAGCGCTCCCGCTCCCGGCGTTTTCATTAACTGAAGATTGCGGATGGGTCAGCAGATCTATACACTTTTGTGTTCCTCGGCTCGCTTTATTTATTTCTTTCTTTTGCAGGATGCTGAATAACTAACCTTTCCTTCAATAGGCAGATTTAAAAAAAAATAGGATCCATCACACAGCGGCAGGATAGCCTTGCTCTGTTTTGACCTTTCTGAAATTAATTTCCCAATCTTAGCTTTCAAAATCAGAGATTGAAAAGACCTATTAGATCAGCCAATCCATCTTATCACTAGTACGGCAGCAAGCAGAGACCCCAGCCAAGTGCTCCTCTACACAGGGAAAATATTCTGGAATAAGACGGGGCATGAATTTAAAGTGAAATACCTGTTCCGGAATATTCTGCACGTGGACACGCACTCTGGAAGAGCTGCAGCTGATCCTGAGTTTGCTCAGTTGACACCTGGAGCCACTCACTGTAACAGAGGGGAGAAAAAAATATCTCATTTTAGGAAAAGAGTACCTCTCCTGGGGTAGCTCCAGGGAATAATGCCCCCTGATGCTTTTCCCCCCATGCAGGCTGTTGCTCAGGGAAGCACAGGGGAGAACAAGGACAGGTGCTCACACACCTGCCCAGGGAGAGCTGCTCCCAGGCTCTGCAGGGAAATTCATCCCTGACCTGCAGAACCAACGACTGCCTGGCAGGATGTGGGTCAGAAGGATGGGATTCTGGTGTGCAGCTCCTCGAGGAGCCTGGGATGTTAAAACACCTCTCCCAAACTGCAGAGAGCACCTTTGCCGGGGACACAGGTCTGCTCAGCGGGTCTGTGCTTTTCCAGACAGCAAAGCACTTGGCACCTGGGGGCAAAACCCCAAAGCTGATGGGTCTGCACCACACCAGCCTAAGGGCAGGGCCAGGTCCAGCTGCCCTGGCCAGCACTGCAGTCGCCAGGGAGGCCCCTCAGGGCACGGGGTGCTGCTGGTGCCCTCTGCCTGTCTCCTCCTATTCCCCTTGGAATTCCTGGGGCTCTGGGCACAGGACAGGTCACCCTCTGCAAATCTTGGTCTCCACCTCCATCCTGCCCTTCCCTGCCTGGCACCGCTCCAGCAGCACCACACGGAGCCCAGATCTGGCCTGTCCTCACCCAGGGGATGCCACAGTCACACAGGGAGGGAGGGGGAGCTCAGTGATTCTGTGGCAGTCACGGATATCAGTGCCACACTGGGCTCTGGGCTGGGAGACCGGAGACTGCATCCCAGGTACATGAAAACTTGGAGTTTCTTCCTATGAAATGTGATGGGAAGGAGGCTCTGCCGACACCTGCAGCGAGTGCGTTCACCAAGGAACTGGGAATGACATAAATGTGCCTGTCAGGTTAAAGCCCTGTTACATTTGCTATCAGTGCTGGCTGTTTGGGGGACAACCACGAGTCTTTTCCCAGTGAAACCCCCCTCGTTCCACACCCACCATCCCACGGGAAGAGCTGCCACCACCCCCTACGACTGGGAGCACCAAGAGCAGGCAGGGACGGGAGCTGCAAACTTTGGGCACTCAACAAGTCCTCTCCACACAGAGTCAAGGCCAAAAGATCAATATTGACACTTAAGACTATTTTCCTTGATTTGTTTTTTTGTTGATTGTCGGGGCAAAATTCCACTTTTCCGATATCTTGGATTCTTGGCTAATAGAAACAAATAAACTGAAAGCTTCTGTCCACAATGGGTGAGGAGCATCCATTGTCGGCAGGCGCTAATCGGATTAAATTGGCTCCTGGCTCTATTGCTCGGGGATAACTCACTCCTAAATTTTTCCCATCTCAAGGGGATGGGTCATTGTTGCTTCTTTTTTTTTTTTTTTCCCCCTATTTAAATTTGACAGATAGAAAGAAAGCAGGAATGGCTGGAGCTGACGGCGGTGAACAAAGAGTGGAGCCCAGCCGTGGGCCGTGGGCCTCGCTGGCCCCCGCGAGCCCCTTCTTCTCCCGGCCGGAGCTGCTCCGGCACGGCCGCCGCTCCCGTCTGGAAACGGGCAGGGAAGAACCTCCGGCTGTCCCCGGCGGGCGCGCTCAGGTCGCTCCCCCATTAGCATTTTAATCCGTACCCCTGGCACCAGCCCCTCGGAAGCAGCAGCCGCGTTCCTGCGAGCACCCGAAGAGACAGCCTTAAATAATGCCGCCTTCCGAGGGAGGCCCCGCGCGCCGCCAGCTACATTTTGCCCAGAGTCTGATAATTTTCAAAGCTATTGGCAACCTGGGAATTTTCCTGCCTTATCACCAGGGCTCAGCTAACTTCACTAACACTAATCAGAGCTGGAATCATTCATTCAAGGATTGCATGATCATGTTTTTCTTTAGCAGTGACAGCTGCCTGAGCCGCATTAGCAATGCAGATGAGTCAGCCTAATAGGTTAATGCAGAACACGCGAAAATTAGGTTTAATCCCCAGTGAAATAATCTAACATTTTCACATTTCTTGATGTTGGGATAGAGACATTGGTGGTGACTCAATTAGGTGTAATGTAGATCAAAGCAAATTTACCTTCTGGCTGAACCTTCCCTATAGTTTAGATAGAAGAATATAAGGGTTCTTTACTAATTGGCCAGTGGCTGTGGGGAAAATTATATGGAAAGCGTGCGTAGCGCAGGAATTGCGTTTCGGATTTGGACCTGGGCATGGCCGGGCTCTGCAAACACCCGGCACAGCACAGTGAGCACAGCCCCTGCCAGCCCACAGCTCCTCGCCGTGCACAGCTCACCCACCAACACGGCTGGGGTTTGGGGTTTGTTTTTTTTTTAGTTTTATTCCCCCCCCTCCCCATTCCTTTTTTAATGCCCCGTACTGCAATATCCCCACGGAGGTTTGAAAGACCTTGTATGATAAAAGGAGCATAAAGGAGAGGGAAAAAACCCCACCCACCAGCGCGCGCCCGTCTAATGTTTTCATTCCCGGGGAATAACATATCAAACAGCCATCGCTTTCAGTCATAAAGGGAGGGGAACAAAAAATTACATGCCCTCAGTTGCCAAATTATTTTTTGCCTTGACATCTTAATTCTTAATCCTTGTGTGTGGTCAAATCAGCCTACTATAGACAACCAATCAAGCAATTATTCCTAAATTATATTTGCCCAGCTCACATTGATTGGTTATTCTTTTCTTATTGGGTAAGCTCATTAATTCCGAGCAGCTTGCTTATTATGCTTTCCACATCATTTTCCTTCGGAGCCTATCTACTCACACCAGCCTGCTGATGTTTCAAGATGCCACGCAGAAAAAAAAGGCCGAGTGATCTATTGCATTGTCTCTTCCAGCAATTACAATTCACATTGCTGATTAACTTTGATGTGAAAACTAATGAGATAAGGCAAGTTATCAAGGCGGACCTGATCGTCATCTCATTTATAGAGCATTTGCCATCAGTGAATGACAAAAACTAATGAAGATGTATCTGACAGCAGGCTGAGCCGCGGCCGAATTTCGTTTCTCATCAGCAAGTGCTCTGCTTCCAACTCATCAGTCTATCTGAAACATGTGGAAATTAGCTTAATAATGAAAACACTTCATCCAAATAGACAAATGTTTACATTAAAATAGCTACATGATAAATAGATGTTAAAGATTTTATGCCTTCTTGAGTCTAAACAATGGAGCACAAAATATGTTCTCATATTCACTAAATCATGCCCATAAAGCTCCCCACGTGCTGCTGTACCTGCGGGTTCCCCTCTTTACGGCTCACAAGGATTCCTGGGCTGCGGCTCGTCCGTTTGGAGCCGCCTGGTTCGGGCTGTAAGTCAGGGACGCCTGTGCCGTGCGGCTGCCAGGGAAGGGGGGGCTGTCCCTGCTCAGATTTGGGGCACACAGCTCCCAAAAGCAGGTTTTTTAGCAGCGCCGGAAGAGAAGCAGAAGTTGCTGCTGGACATTAACATTTACCCAATGCAGAAAAGAGATCCATTTGGCCCCAGACAAAGTACAATGTGCGGACATAATTCATGTAAATACAGCAACATTTCTTGCCTGAGCCATCGTCGAAAGGCCTCCTGTAATATCAGTCGAGTTTGGAAATGTTGTGATAAAAGGGAGGCAGGCAGAGCTGCTCCCATTTTTAATATTGTGGCTTTGGTATCTTTATTTATGAGAGACCATTTCATATTTGTCGGGCACTATTTCACATGCTTCTACTACGTCCAAACATATCCCCAAGATGGTTTTGTATCTGGAATAAAATATTCATTCATCACCTGGGATCAAAAAATACGATTTTTAATATAAAAGACATGCATCTGCAAGGCAAAAACTCTCACTGTAAAAATTATTCTAAAAACTGCGTACACTTCAATTAAAATGAAGACTTGTACAAGGTTCTTTTCCTCTACCCTGATTTTTTCCTCTCTCTAAAAACTGGTAGAATATATGTGGACAGCCTATAGCACTGTGTCCTCCAGGAAAAAAACCAAACCAAACACACTATTCCCAGCGTAAGAGGAACTTTAAACTGATTTTAAAAAACCCCAAAACATTATGCAAGTGGACTAAAAAAAAAAAAATCAGAGGCTTTGCAGAAAAGCCACGGGAGCTCCTGTGAATTCCGTGCACCGACGGCTCCGTGCACACACGTGGAGAAAGCCCGGCTCCCGACGAGCCGGGACCGGACCAGCCGAGCGATGGGATCGCGCCGTGCCGGGGCTCCCGTGCCGCCGGTGGGTGCAGCCCCCCGACCAGCTCCCATCCTCAGGCACTCACCACGTCCCCTTCCTCGGCCGGGGAGCACAGCGGAGGGGCAGCCCGAGGTGCCCCGGCATTGTGAGGCACAGATTAGCAGCCGGCACAAAGGGCCCGGTCCCGGGAAAGTTAAAAGAAAAGCCTGGTAGGAAGCGCCGGCAACAAATTACTACTTCAGCGCTGGATTAAATGTCAAAGCCCTTCGCAGAGCTGCAGATAAATCCTGTATGTCAGAAGGAACCTTAAAAGTACTTGTTCAAGAGCTACAGGCCCAAGTGGAAAATTGACCCCAAAGATTTTATTTTTTTTTTTAATAGCTGAAGTTTATAAAATTTCTCCCGGCGTAGGGAAGGGTTCGGTGCCGCGGCCGCACTCGGCAGCGCGACGCTGCCGGGCTGCTGTGGCTGCTTACCGGAGTTGGACTGTGTGAGCATTCCATGAAATCCCAGCGAGGTTTGCTTGGTGGTTTGGGGAGTTTCTGTTTTGCCTGGTTTTTGTTTGGTTGTTTGGCTTGGGGGTTGTTTGTTTTTCCGTTTGTTGGGTTTTGTTTGTGGGGTTTTTTTTGTTTCCCTTTTTCCCCTCTTTCTTTTACCCAGCTATTGCAGCAGGATGGTTTCTCTTTCACCACTCACAGTGGGAAAACATTGCTCCCATTCTTATTTTCCTTCTCCCCCGGAGCCATAAGCACAGGTCCATCCCCACATTCCTCCCAAGCCTGCCCAGCACTGCCAGGAGACCCCCAGCAGCCGCGGGGA